AGTCGACCCCGCTATTCTTTAGCGGATTTAGGCCAAGGGGCCAAACAAAACATGCAATGAACATGTAATACATCTGCAAGTACGATGTGGAAGTGCAAGCATAACATTATTTTGGAACTTGATAAACTCACACGGATGCTTTTTCATTACTCTACACAAAGCAAATGTGTTGGAACACCCCCACTAGGGATGCGTGATTGATCATAGGGTAGGGTTATTCTTAGAATAGGAATGCAGCGGAATAAACGAAACTAGAAAGTGTGAGAGTACAAATATGCAACCCTAATAACTGTACTCCCTATTGTGCTACTCACCGTGGCCTACAAGCATAGAATTACATTTGACACACCCCCATAGGCTAAGTGAGAGGCATCAAAGCAAGCAAGGTGAACAAATGGTCACAAGACCAGTCAAAGCAAGAAACAAGGCAAGCTCACGGTGGATCTCAAGGACACCACACAAATTCCGAGCGCAAGCAAGCGGCCACAAGGCCAGTTCAAGAGTTCACTAGGATATAAACAGGAAGCACAACAAGCAGAGCAAACAACAAGACTACAGCAACCGAGGGCCTACCTCATTAAGCCCCAACTGCACACAGAACCTGTGGTGATCACCAAGCGCCAAGGCCTTGGTGAAGACGTCTGCAGTGTTGGCCTCTGAGGCCACAAAGTCCAGGCGTGTCTGGCCGCGTCGCTGCAGCTCTTGCAGGAGGAAGTACCTCACGTAGATATGCTTCACTCTGCTCTCCAGTCAAGGCTCTCGACACAGGAGGATCATGGCCTTGTTGTCAGCGTACAAGGTTGGTGCAGAGCGAGGCCGCTCACCAAGGTTGGCGAGCATGAAGGTCAACTAGCGAAGCTCGTGTGCCGCTATGGCACCAGCATAGATCTCTGCCTCTGCACTGGAAGTAGCCACGGACGACGACCGTGTAAACCTCCACGACACAGCACCAGCTCCCAGACTGAAGCAGTAACCCTGAGTCGAGCGCTGAGTCTCGACGTCGTCAGCGTAGGAAGAGTCGAAGTGATCAGTCAACACCACTGGCTGAGTCCCTCCAAGCACAAGCCCCATGCCTGATGTAGTCGCCAGGTATTTCGCCACCCTCACAGCAGCTGTCTAGTGGACAGGACGGTGTCTCCCAGTCGCAACAAAACAAGAGAGGATGCTAAGGGGAAAGGCGAGGTCCGGCCGAGTACAAGTCATTAGGTACATGAGGCAGCCCACAAGCTCTGCGTAGGGACCACTTGGTTCAAAGGGCTCGTCAGGAAAGGGGCCAGTGAGTCGGTGGTCAACAGCCAGAGGAGTGGGCTGTGTGGTGGAGAACTGGAAGTTGAACTGCCGAAGGACCTGCTGCACCATGTGTGACTACGTCAGTGTGATGGTGCGAGCGGCTCTGTCCCTGGTGATTTGCAAGCCAAGGTAGCGCTGCAACTCACCCAGGTCAGTGCACTTGTGTCTCTTCAGCAGTTCGGACTTCACCTGAGCCCGGGCTGCCCTGTCTGCGGTAGCAAACACCAAGTCGTCGACATAGACAAGGATAAAGAAAGGAGTAGAACCCGCTCGAACAAACAGCGACGGGTCGGCGGAGGACGGGCTGAACCGCAGGTCACGAAGCGTGGAGCGAAGAGTGTCGTGCCACTCACGGGGCGACTGGCGGAGACCGTAGACTGTTCGCCTCAGGCTCCACTGGGTCCCAGGTGGGAAGGTGTTAGTGAAGCCAGGAGGACGGCGCAACCAGATCTCCTCGTGCAGTCGGCCCTGGAGGAACGCAGTGGAGAAGTCGAGGGAGTGCAGCTCATAGTCTCGCTGCGCTGCTATGTGGAGTAGCACCCGAAGAGTAGTCATCTTCGGGGTCGGGGTGAAGGTTTGGAAGAAGTAAACTCCCTCACGCTGACTGAAGCCCCTAGCCACGTAGCGCGCCTTGAACACCGGCGGTGCTCGAGGCGGCCGCTTCACCTTGAAGAGCCACATGCCATCGACTACGTTCGCCCTGGGAGAGGGAACTGCGTCGACGTAGGTGCCTGCTGCTGCTCCTGTCCCTGCTGTGGCTGGTGCTGCTGTGGCTGCTGCTGCTGGGGGGCAGCACCCCCACCGGTCGGGCCACCACCTGTGGGTGGACCTGTTTGTCCTGCGCCTCCTCCAAGGCTCCCTCCCCCTGGTGCACCACCGCCGCCGCCTCCACCACCACCGCCGCTCCCACCTCCACCGCCCCCTCCACCACCACCTCCTCCGCCCCCACCCCCCCCCCCCTCTCCCGCCCTTCTTGCCACTCTTGCCCCGGTGTCTTCAGAGACCGACACAACAGCAGAAGCGCGGGTAGCGGTGGAAGTGGGAAGCTAAGGGGCGGCACACCCCGCAAAGAGACGGGGGGCCACCGCATCAGTGGCAGAGGCAACGGTGAGGAGGCTGTTCTCGATGGTCCCGAGAGCAGTCTGAAGGAGGTCTATAGTGTGTTCAGTGGGGTGCTTCTGAAGAAGCGCGTCGCGGGCAGTGGCAAGGCGGTCAGGGAGGCGGGTGACTAACCAGTGCACAGTGAGCCACATGGGGGGGGAGCAACAAGGAGTTGTGCGTCGTTACACGCCGAACGAAAAACGGCGTCAAGCGAGCGGAGGTGAGTCACTAGGTCGGAAACAGTCGCAAACGAGCCTAGGTAGGGAAACACGAACGGCATGAGGAGGCGACTGAGGGAGGCGGAGGAGGGGGTGGAATAGCGAGCCACAATAGCATCCCAAACCCCCTTGGCTGTCTCCACCTGGTCAAAGTGAGCGGCCTCAGTCGGGGGGAGAAGCTCCGATAGCGTGAGGGGGGCGGCCGCGTCACGAGAGAGCCACACGTCCCGAGCCAGGACCCGACGGTCGTAGTCCGCCTGGGCCGTAGGAGTCGGCTCCGGGGCGGTCGGCAAGGCGGCGGGGGACGGGGGTGCCGCGAGAGCACCCGACGCGTGGGCCCACAGAGTAGCGCCGTCTTGACGCTGGCTGGTGAGGAAACGTGTGGTCTGGCGCTGCCAGGTACCGAACTCGATCGGGTTCCCTCAGCATCGAAACGGAGGCGACGGGCCTCCATACCGGAGCCCATGCTAGAGGCGACTAGAGCACGGTGGAGGCGGAGCTAAGAACGAGGAGGAAAACTACGGAGGGCTAGGGACGCCAGCGGGGAAATCGACGAGAGATAGTCGGCGAGAAAATAGTCGTGGGGCGGGGCTCTAACCGAACCTAGGTGGCGCTACCGAAGGGAAGAGCGGCTGCCAGCCGCTGAGCCGGGAGCCGAGTGCAGTAGGAATGGCGTGGGACCGGTGCACAAGTGAAGAGGAGAGAGATGCAGTAAGCGCACAGAGTGATGCGGTAAGTGTACGCAGGTGTGCGGTAAGCGCACGCAGGTGTGCGGTAGGTGCACGCAAGTGTGCGGTAAGTGCACGCAGGTGTGCGGTAAGCGTAGGCAGGTGTGCGGGAAGCGCACGGCAGAATGATGCGGTAAGTGCACGCAGGTGTGCGGTAAGCGCACGCAGGTGTGCGGTAAGCGCACGCTGGTGTGCGGGAAGCGTTGACGGAGGAGGGCGCGCGATAGGCGGAGGGGAGGGCACGCAACGGTCTAAGGAGGGCGCGCGATGGTTAAGGAGGGCGCGCGACGGTGGAGGAGGGCACGCGACGGTCTAAGGAGGGCGCACGACGGTTTTGGAGGGCGCGCAACGGTGGGGGAGGGCGCGCGGAGGTCTAAGGAGGGCGCACGACAGGTTGGACAGCGCGGGAGGGCGCGGGCTAGGCGCGAGCAGGGCGCAGAGGGCGTGAGAGCACGGAGGGCGCGTAGGGCGCGGAGGCTAGCTAAAAACGAACGAGGATCTTACCTACTCGCGATACCATCTAAGAATAGGAATGCAACGGAATAAACGAAACTAGAAAGTGTGAGAGTACAAATATGCAACCCTAATAATTGTACTCCCTATTGTGCTACTCACTGTAGCCTACAAGCATAGAATTACATTTGACAGTTATAGGCATGTTTGCCTGGGGGTTATGGCGCATTCACCCACCACTGAACAAGCCCTTTGATCCCAGTAATCTAGTGGCTGGGATCCTAACCAAATGTGTCATGTTCACTGCTGGAATGGATTCGGCACAACCAACACTGGACACGATGCATTGTGGATCAAATAGTCGCTCACACTCCCAAGCATGGCTCTGCCACGCACAACGAACGAATCACGCAGTGAAACAAAGCAAAACAAGACAAAGCAAAACACATCATTTAATGAATGAAAAATAGAAAGCACATGTCCTTGTGAAGATTCATCCAGCCTGCCCGTATGTGCAAGCAAGATTACACATGAAAATCCCATCGCTCAAAGACTGCCCTTACAACTGGGGGTAATAAAAGAGAGATGACAGAAACACGCCAGCACAGACGACAGCAGTCGCACCTTGACACGGCCCCAGCCCTCCGGAGCCTACCAAGAGCAGCTCTATGGCCTGCCGCTCCACACCCATCCTAGATACCGGAGGTTAGAGGTCAGATACATGACATGCCAACACAGACACACACACTCCCACATGGACATGGCGTCCAGCCCTTTTGAGCCCACCACGAGCACAGCTCTATGGCCTGTCGCTCTGTCCCCATTCTTAATGGCTGGGGTACAGGTGAGATGAGAGCGACATGCAGGCACAGAACCGAACCCACCACTGCCACCCTAAGTGGCAAAATACGCGTATTGCGTATATACGCGTGTCGTATATACGCGTGTCGTATATACGCACGCGTTTATACGCTATACGCAAAGGTCCCGAGACCCTAGATACGCTATTTCGGGCAGGTTAAAAAAACATCGGGCAGCTAAAATAAAACCCCCCTGCAATACTACTAGGGTAAGTTTCCACGGGGGTTGGATTTCCCGGTTTTTTTTTCCGATTTTTTTTTTTCACCAACATTACAATGACAACTACTCATCCCATACTACTACTACTACACATACTACTACTCACGCTAGTCCAGATCAATTAACCCACCTACGCATACTCATCCTCCAAAATGTCGTCTTCCCCCTCCTCCTCCTCCTCGTCCCCCTCCATCACATTGTAGCCCTCGGGCACGGGAGGCTCCGGGATATTCCCGAGCACCACACCCGGCATGACATCTGCACGGGAATGCCAGTTGCGCACAACGCTCCAGTTGTGCGCAACAAAAACCAAATCCCGGCACTTGGCAGAGCCAAGCCGGTTCCGGCGGGCCGTGTGCACCCCACCCCACGTTGACCATCCCCTCTCACATGGTGAAGCCGACACGGGCTGAGAGAGAGTCCTGATGGCTAGGGCCGCCAGCTTTGGTACGTCAGTGCCGTGCCACTGCCACCACTTTACCATGTCATACTTGCCTTGCTTGACCAAGTTCCTCTGAGCAATTGCATCCCCCATCCCGAAGCTTCCTTTCATATCCAGAAATGCCCTCACCCCGTCCTGCAGTTCCATCAAAACCTCGCCAATGTCATCCCCATCATCCCCCTCCTTTCCGTAATTGCAGAGGTGCTCGGCGTGCTCAGTGATGTACGTTTTGAATACCCTAGTGCACTCCGCGTCTGAGCCGAAGATGTCTTCATCCTGGTTCGCCGGGTTGAGAATTCTGCCCGCAACGTGCATGGGGCAGGCCAGGCTGTCGTCCCACCTGTCCTTCAGTAGGCGGCGGATGTTCACTTTGTCGGAGTAGCTCAGCTGCTCCTCATCCTCCTCCACCACTGTCCCCACATCCTCGGTCAACTGCAGCATCACGTCATACATCCGGCCCATCATCCCCTTGGCATCCCCATCGGTCTTATGCATTGCCATGAACGGGAGCTTCATCAGCTTGGAGAAAAACTCCGCCGTCCGCCACCACGCGTCATCAAGAACTTGTGATGCAAACTTATCCGCAGACTTCTTCCTATCCCCAACTGCCCAACCCTTCCACACATCAGACACCACCATCTGTGCAAGCGACTACCGCAGCTCACAGAGACGGGACACAACAATGTACTGTGTCCCGAATCTGGTTCCAGCTGGTTTCAGCGCCTGCAGCATCTTTGCACCCACCAGTGCGGGGGTCCTCAAGTATCCCCTTGTCCAGTGGTGGTTGCGGACGAAGGAGCTGATCTCGCCCGCAGTGTCCACCACCTTCTTGGCCCACGTCATCTTGCCGACGTCCTCCATGAAGAGGTCCAACACGTGGGTGGCGCATGGCACGTGTTGAATGTGCGGCCATTCCGCGATCAGCTCGTTGCACGCCACCGCGTAGTTGGACCCACCGTCAGTGCAGAACGCCACCACGTTATCTGGACCGACCTCCTCCACCACAGGCCTGAGGATGCTGGCGACATAGCCGCCGGTTTTGGTCTCCATGCGACACTCCACGCTGTCCTTGAACACCGCACCGCTCTCGTTGACGAGAAACACGTTCGCCTGGGGGCGACCGTTCTTATCAGTCATCATATCAGAAGAAATTGTCACGCCGGTCCGCTTCCAGCTCGCCTTCACTCCAGAAAGCCCTCTGTCGATGTTCTCGCAACAGAGTCGCAAGCCCGCCCCGCCGATGAACGTCCTCGTCGGGGGGACGTATCCTGTGCCGGAGTCCCTAATGGCACAAACGGCGTTGATGAAGAGAGGGTGCTCCGCCACGCGCTCCAGGATTTGACACGCCGCGAACATCAGTGCCAACGCCTCGTGTGCATCGCGCTTCGCAGCTGCCACATCCGTCTCCAAGTAGTCAGTAATGCGGCTCCTCTTTCCGCCGCTGGTGACCGACGCAATGGCATCCGATGTCGCCTGGCGGCGCTGATCCGCCGCTGCAGCCTTAGCCTCGTACTTCTTCCGGATGGCAGCCCGTACTTCAGAGGGGGCTTCCTTGCATAGCGCCACTTCGCGGCGCCTCATCTTCCTCCAACTCGCCAAGTGCTGCGCGCAGCGGGTGGCGGCACCAGAAAAGATATTGCAGCAGTACCTGCACTCGTATTGCTGCGATTTCCCCTCATCCACCTTTATGCGGCGGAAATGCTTGAACACCTCGTGGTCGACATCGGGAAGGTAAACTCGCGCCGACTGAACAGGACTGTCCGTGCCGGTATTAGGAGGGGGAGTGGACGGGGTCGGGCTAACATCTGCAGAAGACATTCTAAAAAGGTCTGTGAAGGTACATGGGAGGATGCATTGACGAGAGAGAACAATACCTGATTGTAAAGTAGCGTGGGATGGAGTGGTGGGGAGAAGTTGAATTGGAGGGAGTTTGTAGGCCGAGAGCGGTACAAATTGGTGGAACTCCAATGTGGAATGTCAAGGACATCGCGACTCCAAACATTGGAGCCACGTAACCCAACTCACAGTCGCGGGGCCGCGAATTGAAAGCACGGAAACCAACTCACCTCCATACATTGAAGCCACGTCCAGGCCAGGGTAGATCTCGGACGTGCATTTCGAGCACGGCATCTTCTTCGCCGTGAGAAGACGAAACTTTTCAGATATACATTTTTTTTTTCGATTTTGGGCTGCCCTGAAAAAAAACCCCGAGCGTATTGCGTATTCGTTAGCGTATAGCGTTTTGCGTGTATACGCAAGCGGATAAACGCTAAACGCTTAAAGGCAAAAGCGTATTTTGCCACTTAGCTGCCACCCACCTGGACACGGCGCCCAGCCCTCTCGACCCCACCACGAGCAGCTCTATGGCCTGCCGCTCCACCGCCTCACACAGCTCTGCACGCGCATCCCCCGCATTGCGTGATACTGCATGGCAGGTAATCTGGTGGACACGAGGGGTTGGGTGAGTAAACGGCCATGGCATTCAATTATCCCCCGCCTTGCGCGACACTGCATGGCACGTTATCTGGTGGACACTGCATGGCACGTTATCTGGTGGACACTGCATGGCACGTTATCTGGTGGACACTGCATGGCACGTTATCTGGTGGACACGAGGGGGTGGGCGACGGATGGGCTTTAAGCTGTCTCACCACACAGCTCCATGCACGCATCTCCTGCCGTGTGCGACACTGCATGGCATGTCAGCAGTACATCAGCAGCAACCACCTCCTCCAATCACCCCCCCCTTTTCCTCCAATCACCCCCCCCTTTTCCTCCAATCACCCCCCCCTTTTCCTCCAATCACCCCCCCCTTCCTCCCTCACCCCACTCACCCCTGCTGCATGAGCCATCCTGCGGAATCGTGCTAGCAGATCCTCTGCGCGCGCCTCCACCTCATACCCCCACACCAACGCCTGCCCCGTGCTTCAGTGACCACCTTCACCCCCACCACCTCTCTCGCATCCCACTCACCCCCACCACCTCTCTCGCATCCCACTCACCCCCACCACCTCTCTCGCATCCCACTCACCCCCACCACCTCTCTCGCATCCCACTCACCCCCACCACCTCTCTCGCATCCCACTCACCCCCACCACCTCTCTCGCATCCCACTCACCCCCACCACCTCTCTCGCATCCCACTCACCCCCACCACCTCTCTCGCATCCCACTCACCCCCACCACCTCTCTCGCATCCCACTCACCCCCACCACCTCTCTCGCATCCCACTCACCCCAGCCGCATGCGCCATTCCTCGGAATCGCGCTAGCAGGTCCTCTGCGCGCGCCTCCACCTCGTATTCCCACACCAACGCCTGCCCCGTGCTGTTGCGCTGCTCCGCCTCATACATCCATGCCGCCTCTGGGAGGGGGGAGGAGGGGAAAGAGGGGGGAGAGTGTGAGGAGGGATGCTACAACACGGCTGTTGCGCTGCGCTGCTCTGCCTCGTACATCCATGCCGACTCTGGCGCGTGGGAGAGGGGAGAGGGGGGGGAGGGCGTGGGCGAGGAGTGGGTGCTACGACTTGCATCACACAAATTCACTCCCACACCAACGCCTGCCCGCTGCTGTTGCGCTGCTCCGCCTCGTACATCCACACCGACTGTGGCACGGGGGGGACGGTAGGGGAGGCGGCAGGAGAGGGGGGTTGCATCACACATTGGATATTCTCTTGTCTGGCTGCCCGCTGTTGCGCTGCTCTGCCTCGTACATCCATGCCGAGACAGCAGGCTCCTGGGTCAAATTGATAGTCACCAGGCTCACCAGGCTCACCAGGCTCACTCAGCCACCATCACCACCACCCGAACATGCAACGGACAAGCTCCTGGGTCGACTCAAAAGTCACACGGCTCTCATCAATGCTAGGGTCCCTGGCATGCAACGCACAGGTGGAGCTTCGAGGCGTGTCAAACTCACCGGTGTTGGGGTCCCGGACATGCAAGGCGTAGATGGTGGCGCTGCGAGACAGCAGGCTCCCGGGTCAACTTAATAGTCACGAGGCTCACCAAGCCACCATCACCACCACCCGTGCCAGGCTAACCAAGCCACCATCACCACCACCCGTGCCAGGCTCACCAGTGTTGGGGTCCCGCACATGCAACGCGTAGATGGTGGCGTTGCGAGACAGCAGGCTCAGCGCGAAGTGAAATGCCTGTGGGACTCGAAGAGGCAACACGTGAGAGAGAGAGATAGAAGGATGGGAGTTGGTGTTTTGGAGAATTGGCAACAGCAACGTGCTGCGCGACAGCAGGCTCAGCGCGAGGTGAAACGCCTGTGGGAGTCGGAGAGGCAACGCGTGTGGGAGAGAGGGATGGGGGGGTTGTTGGACGGCAGCAGTGGACGGCGGCACAGGCGGGAAGCACAGGACGGCAGGAGTAAACGCAGCACAGGACGGCAGCAGTGGGTTGCAGCAATGGACGGGTTAGAATCGGCAAAAGGCAGCACAACAACACACCCATATCTGCTCTCACTCCCCTGCTCTCCTTGCCCCGCTTCTTTCGCTCCCACATTCGCTATCTCTTCGTTCCCGCACCGTCTCGGCGCCCTGTGATTGGTCGACTGCCACTAAAACCCGCGCATCGCGTCGCATTGCTCTCGCCGCACCGCCTGCATCCGCGACTTCACGCCCGATGAACGCGATGCGTGCCGGCCTTCTCGGTCCACGAAAGATCAACGATGGCTGCTGGGAGATTTGTCTACGATACGCAAATCTAGCGTAGGGCGCGTTGGCGGGTTAGGCGATTGGCGCGTTTGGCGCGTTTGGCGCGTTTGGTGCGTTTGGCGTGTTGGCGCGTCAGGCACGATGGTGAAACAAACTACTGCTGCTCGCTCTATGTCAGATTTGTGAGCAGGCTTTTAGGGCGTGTCACCTCTGACGTTCAGACGGCCCCGGACTAAACCAGAGTGATTGTAGCGTACTGTACCGAACTCAAACCCCAGAATTTGGGCGTTCAAACACTGGTTACCACCCGATGTTGATATCTGAATGGGCTGGTCCGTACCTCCAGACAGCAGCGGTTCGCAGTAACGAGAATTCACAATTAGGGCGTCTCACCTCCCGCGCGCGTCGGGTATCCAGCTTCGTTGAGCTCGTCAGGACAGCGAACACGGAAGATAAGGAATTTGGACACCCGTCATTTGTTCGAACGTGCGACGATTTGACAAGCCCTTAGCCTCGAAGGGCCTAGCAGCCGACTAGGGCTGGTTGAACAGGGCAAAGCCCTACGCATCAACATTGCACCAAACATTCACCGTTCTATAACAGTTGTTTTTATGGCCCTGTTCGGCAGCACTTCAGGAGCACTAAAAACAGGTCATCTTGGCCGTTGGGAGCCTGAAAAGTGTTCATGTTGGCCGTTGAGAGTGGTTCGGCACCACCAAAATCGCCTGCGACCCTCGTGCGACAAGACTTCATTCCGAGCTACCCACCCCACACAACTCCGAACCTCTCGCCCAACCCCAAGCCTGACGTGGGCCCAGAAGTCAGCCAACGACCAATCACAAGAAGGGAAGGCCAGAAGTTGGGTACTCATCTTTTCAACGTGAGTACCCATCTTCCGCCTAATTGAGACTTCCATTTCGGGCAGCGTGGGGGGTAAGTCCTGCGTCCCCCAAGTGCCCTCCTGCCCAGATTGGGGGTATTTTTAAACATGTGCATCGCCAGCAAAAGGCCCCGCGAACACACGAACAGCAGCCCAGTGCAACGTCCTCGACATACCTAGCAGGAGCAACTTTTTTTTTTCAGATTTTCCGTCCGCGGGAGGCCTGACCGAGGGGTGACCCAGGGCCATAAACCTGAGTGAGTTGGATGTGTGGAGGATTTTTGGGTCGTTCATGTTGGCCGTTGAGGTCCGGTGGCCTGGTCTAATTTCTCTGTCTTTTGCGCGGACACTGTAGATACACCTTAGATTTTGCTGACGTGTTGCCACGGTGTCAGGACGACAAGCTGCCTTTGGTTTCCGAACTTCCCAACGTTCGGAACCAGACCTCCCGCACAACACCGAACCTAGATGGGGAAAAACGTGCAATTTTGCAGCCGAACAGGGCCTATATATTTACCAAACCGAGCCAGCTCAAACCTATCCAAAAAGTCGACCAAGACGGATAGCGAGGGGAAGATATCGCAAAAACCATTCACCATCATTTGGTCCGTCATTTTCGTTCTGACACCGTCGCCTAGCGCAGCACGCAAGGGGCGGGAGCCAACCCACCTAGCCCGCCCGCAAAGACCCCCGCCGCCTTTGGATTGACGCGAGCTGCTCCCCCCACTGTCCCAATTCTCGCGTAATCGCAAAAACAGGAGGGTTGAGGGGTAGGGAAGATATAGGCGGGATCCCGAGACATCCTGCCGCAAACGCGAATGGCATGGCAGGAGAAGCAGGAGGATATCGGCGGGACCCCTACGGACGGAATCACAAGGGCCGAGCCTAGGTTTTCTCGCCAGGAGGGTCGGGCGAGGTGGCGGCGCCACCCCCGGTGCCAGATTGGTTTCTCTCGCGTGGCCCAGGTCACGACAGCGAGGGCATCGGGCCTCCTCGCGGCCCTTTCCTCGCGGGGAATGGCTCGTCTCGGCCCGAATAGAGTGACGCCACCGCCTAATCACAAAAACAGGGGGGTTGGAGGGGTTCTAGGTTGGAGCTTGCGTCGACTCATACCTCTAGTAAAAACCCTTCTCCCTCGTCTATCCTTCCTCTCGTTCATCTCGCTTCCTACCTCAGATCAGAAAGCTGCTGGCGAGGGAACCACAGTAACCACCTTCATTAACGGCGTTGCTTGATTACTGATTCCGAAAATTGCGGGAACGCGCTGTGTGAATATCCCGGATTTCAGAGCACTCGAATTGCGCAAGGCCGAGCGGCTTCAGCCGTGGGAGCGTCAACATCATGGTGAGCTTCTGTATGGCGCACACAAGTTTGGTCCTTCGAGTATACAGAGTTGATTCTGTATGCAGTATACGAAATTCGAGCGAGTCGGTACCTTGGCTTGCTCTGGTCTTCTCGATCGTCTATTCAACACGCTGAATCTTGCTTCCGCTGGAAGACACACACGAAGGCTGCCTTGATTGCCTTCCAAACCTTCCTCGCTCCCTTCGCTTTGCTTCGCTCCAAAGTTTTCCGACCTCACCTAATCTTTTCCGACCTCTCCTGCACTGTTCATCGGCTAGGGTTTCAACAAGGAGCAGCCAATGAGCGGCCAAGGCCAAAGCTCGGATCGCGCTCCTCTGCTCGCCACCTTCACCGCCTCCTACTCCTCTTTCAATGCTCATCATCCCACTCCGCCGAATCCTCCTCCTGCTTCTCCTGCTGCTGCTGCTGTAGCCGTTGGCATTGCTGATGCTGCCGCTAGTCCTACTACAGCAAAAGCAGCAGCAAGGGAGACGGCAGCAACAGGGGGGGCAGCAACGGGGGCAGCAGCAACAGGGGGGGCAGCAAGGGGGGCGGCAGCAACAGGGGGGGCAGCAGGGGGAGCAGCAGGAGGGGCAGCAGGAGGGGTGGCAGAGGGAACGCCACTCATGTATCCTGGCCTTGTTCAGCCAGTGGGCACGCGAGTACTCGTCTCCCGCTCGCCCACGCTCCTCCGCTTCACCATCCCTCCCCTGCAACTCACCTTTACAGCCCTCGTCGGAATCGTCTTCGTCCTGGTGAGCTCGTGTCAGTCAAATTCTCTGTCCTAGAAGTGCCGTCTTGCTGCTTTGTACGCTCGTACCTTATTGCTTCCAAGTACACCCCTTTTTCTCCCATTCATTTGAAGCCTCCGCTTTCTCTTTCCCTCCCTCTTCATCCACCTCCTTAGTCATCCTCCCTTCTCCCCCACACCTCACCATCCTTACTGCTCTGGTCCAGATGGCCTTTGTCGCCTTTTGGACATCTGCAGCGCAGCAGCAGCCTCAAACGAGTTGCCTCAATCCCTCTCTTTCCCGCCCCTCCCTCTCCCAATCTCCCCTGCCCACCACACGCCATCCCTGCCATTACAGTCCTTGATGGCGGGTCTCGCCTACTTGTCAACCATAGCAGCCAGCAAGCATGCTGGCCCAATCCCTCCCTTCCTGCCTTAATCAATCAATCAGTCCGATTCTTTCCCTCCCAATCTTCCCTGCCCACCACACACCATTTCTGCCATTACAGTCCTTGATGGCGGGTCTCGCCTACTTGACAACCATAGCAGTAGTAAACTATGGAGTTCCCCTCCTCCAACTTTATTTCACCATTCCCCTCTGGGTTGTGTGCATCTGGTGGGTGGCTTCTATAATCTATTCATTTCAAGCCGTGTCTTTCTCATTCAGGCTTTCTGGCCTTTTTGTGTGTTCGCGTGCTACCTTTGGCACATCATGAGCCAAGTTGCTATAATGTGTCTTGGTGTGAATGTCACGAGTCGCGAGTCCCGACCTTGTAACTACTGCCACCTTCCCCCACCTCCCCCACTTCCCCTTCCCTTTCCCCTACCCCTTCCCCTTCCCCTTCCCTATCCCTTTCACCCCCTTCCGCTCCCTCTTCCCCTTCCCCTTCCCCTTCCCCTTCCCTATCCCTTTCACCCCCTTCCGCTCCCTCTTCCCCTTCCCCTTCCCCCCCTTCCCCTTCCCCCCCTTCCCCTTCCTCTTCCCCTTCCCCTTCCTCTTCCCCTTCCCCTTCCTCTTCCCCTTCCCCTTCCTCCCCTTCCACTTGCTACTGCGGCACATCATGGGCGAGGCGAGACAGTGTCTTTCAAGCTCTCAGCTGATCATCACGTCCCCCTCCCCCTTCCCCTTCTCCCCCTCCACTCCTTGCCCCCACCAGGGTGCTCGCCGACTTGCTACTGCCGCGTATGAAGGGCGAAACAGTGACCGTTGACTCCGCCACGTGTGAGCTGACCATTCATCGAACGGTGATGGGGCTGACTCTGCCTTGCGTGATGGGGCTGACTCTGCCTTGCGTGATGGGGCTGACTCTGCCTTGCGTGATGGGGCTGACTCTGCCTTGCGTGATGGGGCTGACTCTGCCTTGCGTGATGGGGCTGACTCTGCCTTGCGTGATGGGGCTGACTCTGCCTTGCGTGATGGGGCTGACTCTGCCTTGCGTGATGGGGCTGACTCTGCCTTGCGTGATGGGGTTGACTCTGCCTTGCGTGATGGGGCTGACTCTGCCTTGCGTGATGGGGCTGACTCTGCCTTGCGTGTCCACGGCTCGCATTCAAGGCGCTGGAGTCAACTTCACCACACAGGTATTGTTCTGTTCTCGTTTTGTTCTCGTACTCTTGTGCCTTCAGGAAACAGATTCTGCATTCCTCTCTGTGGCGTGTCCACGGCTCGCACTGCTCGCATCCAGGGCTCTGGAGTCAACTACACTGTGCGGGTATGATCTGTTTGCAGTTTATGCACTCAAGTAACCATGCAGTCCCTTCTCTTGTGCTTTCTCTCTGTGGCTCTCCGTGGCTCTATTCCACTACCGCCACCACCTCTCTATTCCGTCCACCTCCTCGCCTTGCAGGACAATGAAACTACCACGTTCTGCCAGCTCACCATGGCGGGCGGCAGGACTCTCTCCTTCGCCTGTCACTTGTCGCTACCAGAGCAGCGCTGGCTCTCCCTCCACATCGCATCCTTTCTGCAAGTTCCCTGGTTCTAACCACCCTTTCTACAATCCTGTTGACCCAACACTGTTAGCGCCTGTACAGTATTGTTCGGAGCAGCGCTGGCTTTCCCTCCACATTGCCTCCTTCCTGCAAGTGCCCTGAATTCAACCATCCTTCCTACGATCTTACTGACCCGACATTGTCGGTCGCAGGGCTAATTTTTGGATTTCAGCAACCCTTGTTGCAGTGTTGCACAAGTCCAAAAAACTGATTATCAGTGTGACACCTTGTTCAAACCCTGATCCATCAGGGTTTTCCTTGTTTTTTAAAATTATACTCTGTAGGATCAGTGTACCAGTTTTGCAAACCATGGTGTAGTGATATTATCGTTGGCAGGCAATAACGGAACTGTATTTCTGGCCAATGGAGGCCCCTATTGTGCCAGCTCAGATACGGTATTGCCTTGTTGGGCTGAGAAAGCCCTTAGGATCTTTACACGACTGAACTCTGGATAGGGATGATGTAATAGCAGAAGTTTTTAGTGAAGTGTTTGAACCACCTTGCGCTAGTACCGTATGTGAGGGCAAAGTAGATTGATTAAAACAAAGGGATACAAGCTTTTATAAGAGTACAAGGGAATATGAACAGTTATAATTAATAACTGTTTTGCTGTTGCTGTTGCGGTTCGATAGAGTGACGACTCGGGCAACTGCTCAATAACGAGTCAGTTGTTTGTCCTTCCTGTCGCGCTGTATTTGTCAAATCAAAGGTCGCTGACCTTTGACTTTCGCGTAACCTCCAGCAGTTGCTCAACCTCCGAGGGTTGACTCGCCGATGCTTCGATATGTTCTGCTTCGCTTATGACTTAGTGTTTCGACACGACAAAGGCGCTTAAGTCAATTGTTTCCAACACTCCCCTTCGCTTCTGGAGTGTCGCTGCTGGTGACGTGGCTCTGTCCAGTCAGCAGCATACAGTCCTTCCAGTCAGAATGTTATCATCTAGCCTGTAGTGGGGTGCTCTATAGCGAGTACAACCCTGTTAGGGTTTGCTATATGTATCCCAACTGCTGCTAGTGAAACCCCTCCTTTCTTCATTTCTCTCTTGCCTAGCTAGCTAACCCTAGCTATGGCTCCTCACTCTACCTACTAATCTCACACTTCCTTGGTGGCTGAGCAGAGTGCGATATATTCAGCTTCAGCTGAGGAGAGAGCGATTAACTCCTGCTTGCTCAACTGCCAGGAGATAGGTCCGATAGCCTCGAGGCGATAGATGTAGCCGGTGCGTGAGCGTCTGTTGTCGGAGTCGCCGGCGTGATCGGCGTCGACGTAGCCGATTAGTTTAGGTCTCGTAGTCCCGTTCTTGTGGTAGGTTAGACCGACGGTTAAGATGCTGATGAGGCAGTGGAGAGCGCGGTCGAGTTCCGCCATGTGTTCTACTTCAGGTTTCTTGAGGTAGGTTGCGAACTGACTTGCGGAGTACGATAGGTCCGGACGGCAGGTAACAGCTGCGAAGAGGAGGCATCCCAGTTTTCTCTAGTAGTCGCATATGCCGGCGGTCTTTAGTGGAGCGGATCCTTGTTATTTCCTGCCGTGTAGCGGTATGGCGTGGAATTGGTGGTCGGCGTGAGTGCGAAGCGTTTGGCGATGGTGTCGGCGTATTTTGCAGCGCTGAGGTAGATTGCGTTCTCTTCTTCCTGAATGTTGAGGCCGAGGTATTGTGTGACGGTAGACGAGACCGTGAGCGTGAGATCTTTCTGTAGCTCCCCTTCCAACCAGGTAGTGACGCCATCGGTCGACCTGATGTAGAGCAGATCGTCTACGTAGACGATTAGTAGGATGTAGTCAGTGCCTTTTGTAAGCCGGTACATGCCCTGGTCGTGAGGTAGCTGGCAGAATCCTATGCGGATAAGTCTTGCGTGCAGGTACTGTTGCCACAGCCTCGGGGCTTGTTTGATGTCGTAGAGCGACTTCAGCAGCTGACAGACTTGGTTAGGCTCTCCGTTGGAGCCATGTGGTAGTTCGACGAAGATTTCTGCGTCGACAGGTGCGTAGAGAAATGCGTTGGCGACATCAATTTGCCACAGTTTCTTCTTCTTCATGGCGGCGATCGCGAGGAGAATTCGCAGCGAGGTGTGTCGACTGACCCGGGCAAATGTTTCGGCGAAGTCGCGTCCGTGTTCTTGGTCGAAGCCGCGTACGACCCAGCGCGCTTTAAACTTGTCGATGGTGCCGTCTGCCTTTGTCTTCATACGGAAGACCCATTTTCCGGTGAGTACTGTCTTGTTTCGTGCCACGCCGATGAGAACAACTTTCCAGGTGTTCCGTTCTTCCAGTGCTTTCAGCTCCTTGTCCATGGCTTCGCGCCATTTTTCCCTATGCTCCCCCCCCAGAGCTTGCTGAACCGTGGCAGGCTCCTTAGGAATGGCTGTGACGTAAACCGCGGTGACGAGGCCGAGTATCTGGAGTCCACTCTGTGTGTAGCGGGGGAGTGTTGTGTCGTCGGGATAGACTGCTTCATCTCCCGCTTCTGGTGTAGGATTGAAATTTGGCCCTACGCGTTCTGCTTCGTCGGTATTGACCTGTGCAACAGGAAGTTTCACGCTTGATTCTCGTTCCGCCACAGGAAGCCAGGCAACGAAAGCTTTGAAGGCCATGTCCTTGCTTGGAAGGTTGAGGTGCCAAACGCAGCGTGTGGCTGCGTCGATGAACGTGATGGTGTAGTTGTATGCGTTATGCCCGGGTTCGCGATTGTACAGTATGTCGCTGTACACCTTTTCAAGAGATGCGTATGCAGGTGCGCTTGGATTGTAATGCGAGACGAACGGCTGGTGCGGTAAGTCGGCTTCTGGACAAGTGAAGCACGTTCCACAGACTCGCTAGAGTTCTCTGCCGTCGGTTAGTAGTAATGAGTATTTGTCGAGCACGCCTGCTCTTATCGTGTTGTTTAACACTGTGTTGCTTGGATGTCCCATTCTTGCGTGCTAGGTTCCTTCGATGGCGCGATGTCCGGGTGAGCGGCGATACGTGTCGGAGTTGGAGTAGAAGCTAGCAGTGAAGTTGGCGCTTCGGTGAACTTCTTGTGGTGCCGGGTTTAGCTGTTGTGCGGGTGTCGGTGGTGTGTCGTCGACGAAGATTGGTGTTGTTGATGGACCAACGACTGGTGTCGATGTTGCCACTGCTGCTGCTGATGTTTATGCTACTGTTGATGTTGTCTCTGCTGCTGCCGATGTTGTCTCTGCTGCTGCCGATTTTGTCTCTGCTGCTGCCGGTGTTGTCTCTGCTGCTGCCGATGTGGTCTCTGCTGCTGCTGAGTGTTGAATTGTTGCTAATGCTCTTGTTCGTTCTGCCTCAGGGATGGTGTGCGAGTACCAGAAGCCTTCGTGGCTGAGGTCTGGGTCGAGATCTGGTGGATGTGTCCAGGAGGTGAAAGTGACGATCCCGTCGCTGTCAGATGTGCTGAGATCTGGGACGAAGTCGAGGACGAAGACGTTATTTTTCAGGACTGCCTTCCCGATGTAGAGACCGCCCTTCCCGTGCTTGAACTCCAGAATGGTGTTGTCTGCTTCGAGGTGTATGCCCTTCGCCATCAGTTGACTGGCGCTTAGTAAGTTGTAGCCGAGTCCTTCTACTATTAAAACCTAGGACATCTGCAGTATGACGTTTGTCTCTCGTGACTGAAGTTGAACTACGCCTTGTTGTTGTGTGCGCAGGTTCTGGTTGTTCGCGACGGTGATGATGACTTCCCGCTGAAGTTGGTATTCCCGTTGAACGAAGCGACCTGAAGAGCACATGTGTTGTCTGCAGCAATTGTCTAAGAACCAGGTATCCTTCCCAGACGATTCGCTCTGGGCGATGGCTGCGTACGTTGGGTTCGGTTGCAGCGACTCTCGACGTGGAGTCCTTTCGTCGAGTTGTTCTTCTGGTGAGAAGTGCGGCTGCGATTCAGTGATGCAGGAGTCAGTCAATCTTGCCATGCAGCTGACGATGTTCCTTGTTCCTTGTGGAGGTTGTCCCGTCGACGTTGTTGACGTTTGCACTTGAGTGGTGGAATTTGCTTGCGTTGAGGCGACTTGACTGCTTGAAGGTCGGAGCTGCCGCTGCGTTGGTGCTGACTGCTGCCGGTTAGGGCAGTGTGGGCAGGGATGACCTGCCGTCTTGCAGAGATGACAGAACGGAGGTGCGGGTTGTTGACCTTGGTACTTGTTTTGCCGATGGTTGTTGTTGTTGTAGCGCCGTTGAGTGTGGAAAGCGAACTCAGGCACTAACGTCTTCCTCTTGTGTTTTTCTTCTTGTAGGTCCATGTCTTGTTGTTCAGCGTGAATCTCGGCGTAGAGAGCTGCTTCGGAGATTTTCCCGCGGGCTCGGAGGATGGCTCGGGTGGAGCGCCATTGCGGACCAAGGCCGCCGATGATGACTGTAACGAAGGCGTCTTCGGCTATCGTTCCTCCGCATCAAAGGAGCTTGTCGCGCAATTCGTGACAGCGGCTGATATACGCCATCCCTTTTTTTCCCGGTTTCATTTCCTCTGTTGTCACTTGCACCATTAACCGACTCTGATTGACGCTGTCTGTTGCTTGATACAGGTTCTTCAGGTGGTTGTATGCGAGTTCGGCGGAGTTGGCGTATCCCCGGTAAGACCGAATGTTCTGTTGCTGATTCGGAGTGATGTTCCTCAGTAGGATTGTGTATGCCATCATTGACTGATATGTGTACCGCTGTTTGTCGTATTGCGTGCCGTTTGTTGGATATGGCAAGGACCCGTCGAAGAAGCCGAGTATCTGCGCGCCTTCCATCATTAGCTCAAACTCGAATGACCAGGTGAAGAAGTCCTTCCCGTCGAATGGTCTTGAAGTTTGCAGTTTTAAGACATGCGCAAATTGCGACGGAACTTGGAGTGCGTCCAACGTCTTCTCTTGTCTAGGTGAAGGTTGCTAGTGCGGCATGAAGCTGATGGAACCTCACTGGGGCTCGTACGGAGCGAAGGTAAGCTGCTGCTATTGATTTCCGCGCATGTAAGATGAGCCATCGAGACTCATGGGTGTCACGTCGTTGT